GGGGGAACCGTTCTCGGCTTTCCTGTCCTGCGTACGGTCAGTATATTTGGGCCGAGAAGGGCAGGCAGCAGCTCATTGGCCCCGTTGCAGCTGCTGCCCTCAGTGTGGGGCTCCCCAGCTCCACATCGGTATGCTTAGGCACCGCCGAGGGCACCTAGACCGACGCTGGGAGCTAGATGTCAGCAGAGCTGCGCTGTTGACTAGGTGGGCCGTCAGGCCTGTAGTATTCATGTCATTTGGACGTTATGAGTGGAGGTAATATATTGTTCTGTCTACTAGTATAGTACAGACATTTAGCGGCGGCGTTGGCCTCGGTGCTGGCTACGGTTTTGGCCACGACGTTGGCCTCGGCTGTGACCGCGTTCACTACGTTCTCCACGCTGTTGGGGTGAGGAGCTTGAGGTCTCGACGTCGTTGGTGCGCAGCAGGTGGGCAGAAATGAGCAGCTCTGCTTCCCTGTTAACTGTGGTGGGTGGTGGGCCTAGCCAGCCATCGAGTGTGGGGTAGAGGCAGTGGCCAAGCGGGTGGTCGGCACCGAGGCATCCTGGGCATGGTTTTATGTTCGTGTGGATGCGGCCAGTGCCAAACGTGCTGTGGGCAAAGATGTGACGTCTTACAGCATTGCGGAACTCACGCCATGTTCAGTTGTCCAGCGTTGGGGGGTCAATGTAGAGATTGACGAGTGGCCAGGATGTGTGTCCTCCAGGGTCCGACATCTGAAGTATTGTGACTTGAATGGTCAGGAGCAGACGTCCGATAGCCTGTTCTCGCTTCATGTCGGCATAATGGGGGTGCGTTGACAACAGGTAGGCCAGCAGTTGTGCGAGCTTACCACATGAGAATTCCACGATGAACACCCCGCGGATAGCACTTTCTTCATAGGTGCTGAAGCCCCGGAATTGGCCGATGTGTGTGGGGAGCGGCTGGGGTGTGGATGGCTAGCAGAAAAAGGTGCATAGGGCCATGGACCAGCAGAAGCGGTCCAAGAGGGTGTCGTGGTCCTGCTGGGACAGGTTGTAGATAGCGTATAGGAATGGGCCATCGGAGCGACGGTGACCATCTGCGCACGGGGCAGCAACACAAGCGACGGTGAACCCAAGGTCGTGGAGTGTCTGCTTGAGAAGAAAGACTGTCTGTTCTTCATCAGTCCATAAGGTAGCGCAGAAGCAGACGGCAAAGACAACGTAGCCTGGGAGAACTTCCCAGTTGAGAAGCTGTTCTCGGAGCTGTTTGTGGTGTAGGTAGTTGGGGTCACTTAGGCATACAGGTGGAAGGCCGACATCTGGGATGGGCATGGTGGCGATGGCTTCATCGAATGTGACAACCTGTCTGTCGTCGAGATACAGGTCCTCATTGGAGGAGGCGCTTCTGGGGTGCCCTTCTTGTTGGTTGCCGGTGTTGGCCATTTCTGTGTTGTCATCTGGTTGTGCCTGTACAGGAGTCAGAGGCTTGGAGGAGCGTGCTGTGGTATGTGTCGCATTTTGCGATTGGGAGCCAGCGTGCATAGAGCAGTTGGCTCGACCGGTACGAGGTGTCTGGGGTCCGGTAGCATCATCTTTATCATTGGTAGAGAGCGGTGGGAGTCGGGACTGTATGGAGAAGGGCTTCTCAGGTGTGCGGGGCTGGTATGGGCCCTGGAGAGTGGATGGTTGGGCTGGAGTTCGAGTCGTTAGCTTTGCGTCAGCTGTGGTTGGGCGGGAGCACTTACACGAGGCGTAGATGGGGTCGTCTTTGCGGGCATTCGGCGGTGGACCGCTGGATGTGTGAAGGCCTGGAGGGGGTCGAGGGCTTGGAGCCGGCTTTGGCTTGCTGGTTTCCTGCGGTTTGTCCATGCGCTGGTGTTGTGAGTGTGAGTGTCTGTAGGCTGGTTGATGGTTCTTTGTTCTTCATACCTTGTAGGCTTGGTCTATGTGAGAGGCCGCGAGGTTGTTGACAGCGGTGGGTACTGCTGTGTATGCAGAGGTGGATTGTTGTCGTGGCGAGTTTTTAAAAGCGAATGGTTACGAGTGGCGCTTAAACTGTGCAGGTGGTCTCATGGTCTCGCTTATGGAAATCTGCTTAGGAGGTTCGGCTCAGGTGAAAATAGATTTGGCATGCGGTAGCAGTGGGCAGTAGCTAGAGAGTGACTTAAGAGATACGTTTAACTGGTATTTTAAGGAGCGTGGTCGACGCTGTCAAGGCATCGCGGAGTAGAGATGGGCAGGGCTGGCTGCCAGCGCCTGGCCAAAGTAGTCCGGACATCGTCCTTAAGCGGGTCAGTGCGTACAGTGACTGCAGGTGTTAGCGCAGGGGGTATAGTAGGCCTGCAGGGCAGCGATTTGGTGCTGGTGGTCTGTGGTTGTCTTAGTAGGGTGTGTGATTTGTTGCGCAGCAGTACTCACCAGAGAATCAGATTCTGGCGGCTATTGGGGTCACACGACCTACTGATCCCGAGAGCTGTAGAGCGGTGTAGGCACAGGCAGTGCTCGGAAGTGCTGGAGATGGCCTGTTCTCAGAGTCAGAGAGCGAAGGGAGTGTGGCTGGGCGGTATCGGGCTGGTTGTGCAGCCACAGAGCGTGGGGCTTCAAGGTAGAGGTCACCGTCAGGGTGTTGCACTGAGCGTGCCAGGTGAATTACGACGTTCATTGCGGATGTCTTTGAGTTGGC